GGGGTCTGGAGCGAGCTAAGGGACCGCTGCCGGCCCGCACCGGGCTTGCAGTCCGGGCGGGAGGAGCGGGAACGGGGGCTCCGGGACTCTCCCACTCCCTTCCCACAGGGCCGGGGCTGGCAGAGCTGCCCGGCTGCACCCCGCTTTGCTCTCTGCCCGGCCGCGCTCCTTAGCTGGCAGCAAACGGCAGCCGGTATCTTTATGGCAGGTAAACGTGCCGGGACCTGGCTACCTGAGTAAGGAAACGGCTTTAAAGGGTTGGAGAAAAAGTGTAAGGAGAGACACCCCACCGGCTTGCAGCCATGAGAGTGAAAGTTTTTTGCCTACTTCTTTGCATGTCGTATAGTGCTCTCAAACCAGATCCAGATGAGGACTTGCAGGGCTACCTTGTCCTGGAGGGCAGGTGAGCTCTGAATTCTTCCTAGCCACCCTGGTAAAGCTGTATCTGCCTATCAGAGCCTCATTCTCCTGGGAAATGGAGCTGTTCTAGTCCTAAAAAGTTGTCAACCCTCTCCTGATACTGACAAATGCACCCTTGGATGAACAGAAGTAAAATGGTGCTTCTATGAAATGTTTTATCCGTTGGTGCCTGGATATAGCTTCCCTCTCCATTCAAGGGCCCAGGGCTTACCAGCCGGCACAGCAAGTTACAGATGGTAACTTCACAGAACTGGCAACTCACTTGCTCCCTTGCTGTCCAGTTCCAGTGTGGGTGAGGCAAGGCAGATCACTATGCAGTGAAAAAGGTATCATCCACTCTTGGTAAATGGCTGCTCTGTGAGGGAGATTTTTGTGAGCACTTTGTCTCTAAAGAGAATTTGCCAGCAAAAGAGGGTGTTCAGAGCCAGCAAAACTCAGCTTTGAGTTAGAAAACAGTAAAACTATTTATTACTTTTAAAAAACCTAAACCACCCAAAACCAAGAATCCATTGAACACTTCTAGTTGAGACCAAGAGATATGTTCTCTTTTCCTTCTTGTCTGAGGAAATAAGGCTGAAGGAATGACGCTGAGATGTCTGAACAGCGTCTGGCTCTTCTGTAACTACTTGACTGTATTCACTGATTTTAACCAAATGTGCCAGACAGTTAAAAGTCTGAAAAGTTTTATGTACTATCAGTTTCGTGAAAACTGGTGTTTTCATGTAACAGTGCAATTAATGGTAAATAATTAAATACTAATTTGTCCTACTGAGAGAATGGCTTCAGCTTCTGCTCAGTGTTTATTAGACATCACAGTACCCACAGAGCATTAACTCCTGCAGTACAAATCTGTAGAATAACTGGCATAGTCAGCTCTGCTGTGCATGGAACAATTTGTTTCAAATTTTGAATGAGACAAGGAAGATGTTTGTCAGCCTCAGAGTAAAACCAGAAACGTCCCCTTCCCAAATTATATCCCCAGATGGCCCCTTCCCCCTCCTGCTTTAGGATGATAGAGGTTCACGTGTTAGATCTTCAGCATTGCTGAGAGCAGATTGATCCAAAGCGGAGTTCTCAGAGCCAGCATGCTGGAGCAGCAGTGGCGGTAGATACTGGTTCCCTGTTAGTGATGCCAAGAGCTGACCTGGTCAGTGCCCATGCTGCTGCTCCCTGGTGCTCAGTGCCTGATGCTGATCACCAAGCAAGTGACACAGAAACACCAAAGGGATTCTTGTGCTGGGAGGGGGATTGTCATTCCACCTTGCACTGGGGTGACAGAACACCAAATGTTGGGGCTTCCCCTCTGCCTTGCTGTGCTGGATGCCCTTTCTTGGGCAGGAAACAACTTTGGGACTCACAGATGTTAGCTATGGTTAAACTTTCTCTGCTCCTGATTTCAAGTGGGATGGGATGGAAGGTCTCAAGAGAGGAAAGGATTGCATTCTTAAATTGTAGATCTGAACAGTTCATCTCTTGCATGTTGTTTAGGGTAAAGCTTGCTTAAACTTGACTCGTACAAGCTTGCAGAGATACTTCCACTGCAGCTGTGCTGAGCACTTTTGTATGACTGCGTTCAATTTTAGCCTGCCTTTAAACTCACTGATGTGTAGCTATCAGGCACAGTTTTGCAGTGGGAAATCCTAGTGCCTTTCTCCCTCCCTCCCACATTAGCACTAGTCTAGTGCATGTTGGAGAGGCTCACCCTGCAGCCGCCTCTTTCCTCCTCCCCCTGCAGATGGGAGCTTCTCCTCCAATTTTGTTAACTCATAGATGATATCACTGTTTGGATTACCATAAATCTGAGAGAAAAAGTCCTCCAGTTTTGTTAACTTTAGTCCAGATCCTGGTATAAATCTAGAGGAACTCTGCTCCCACTGATGAATTCCTCTGTCTGCCCGTCTGCCTGTGGGATCTGATTCTAGGTCATCTCTTGGTAGAGGCACTTGGAAGAAATGGTTTTCCCTCCTGAGGACAGAGTAATTTCACCGTCTTGTCTGTGGTTATATGTGCTAGAGAAAGGCGTTGGTAAATGTGAAATATACACAGATCAGCTGTGCTTTGAAAAGCTGCGTCTTTTCTCACCTTCCTAGAGGGCAGTTTAGGGATTCCAAGCCTTTTCCTCCTCTTTAGCTCTCCATCCGCCTTTAAGGGAGCTGGGTTTGGATTCTATCAGTGCTCCTGTGTGGCTAAATAAACAGGGCAGCAGATGGCCATGTGGGATTTAAGCCCTGTCAGATACAGATCTGACCATCTACAGCATGACCCACACCTTACAGGTTAGTGTAAGAATTTAATTCCTCCCAGAGGCTGAAAATTGCTCCAATGGGAAATTGTTTCAAATCTTAGGCAGCTCCTTCTAGACTTTCAGGCAAGGCTTCTGTGTTTGTGTTTTAGCGTGTGTGGAGCTTTGAAACTTCCACACAGAGTAAGGGCCTTATTTATGTGTGCTCGGTTGCCAGTAATTAAGTTCTCCCATGGAGAAATCAGGTAGCAGAAGGGCTGCAGCAGAGGCTGTGGTGAGAGGCAGGCTGCTTTTCTCAGTTCTGCATGCATATTCATTGCCGATTCTTAGCCTAGGGGGCTAAATTTAATTCTGTCCCTAGTGATGCCAGTGACAAGACTCTCATCTCATCCAGTCTGGTGGTCCCTGATTAATCTATGGAGAGCACACTGCCTGGTAACTGTCTCCTCCACTGCCGTTACTTTGCCACAGGCTGGCAGTTCAAAAGACTCCGTTCTGTATCTCTCCTGTGCATCCACTGCGATCTCGCATCTCCGAGTCGCACCTCCTGGTAGGAGTATCTCGGCTGGGAGTAAAGGTTGTCTGTAGTGGGGAAAGGTCAGCCGCTGGGCCCTGGGAAAGCCTGAAAGACTCTGGGCTTTTCTGTAGCCTGTAAGTCCCCCGTGAAAAGCCTGCACCTGAGTCGAGCCGTTTTGATCTGAACTCTTTGGAATTCATCGCTTTCTTCAGGCTACCTTCTAATTTGGCCTCGGGTCAAAATCATTTGACAAGAACAACACTGAGGACAAGTGCCCCCTCTTTTGGCCTTTATCTTGTCTAATTACCAGGAGCATCCCTGCACAATGGATCGGCTCCTTATTCTAATCTCTTCTTCTTTACTTATCTCCATTTTCTCTCCCTCTTCTTTTGTCTTCCAAAATCCCATGCACCATTATTGAAAGGCTGGGTACTGAGGTAAAAGGATTGTGCTGTGAGCTGTGGGCAAATGCTCTCCCAAAGCTACAGCTTTTCTACTGCTTTTTTTTTTTTTTTTCACCTGCATAGTTGGAGGGAGTTTCTGTCAGCCCTGGTCTGTGTATCTGTGCTGCTGACTGGGAGCAAGAGGGAGTAACGTGTCCTTTCTCTCCCCATGTCCCACAGAGAAACCTGTCAGCCTGACTTACCGATGCCCTTGTCGATTCTACGAGAGCAACGTGGCCAGAGCCAACATTAAGCACCTCAAAATCCTCTCCACACCCAACTGCTCACTTCAGATTGTGTAAGTCTCTTGCTCTTTTCAGCTGGGTGCAAATCTCAGGTGTCAAAAAGAAAGGTCACAGAGCTGGTTCCTGCTTTGGTGGCTGCAGTTCAGTGTGTGTCTCATGCCATGATTTCTATGTCTTCACCCCATGTGTCAGATACAGCTGGACCCAGCTTCACCCTGCACAAAGGACCCCAACTAGATGCTTCCCAGCTGTGTTCTACCTCTGTGATCTCCCTGTGACTATGTGATCCCATGTCATGTTTCCCCATGGGTGTGTGAGCAGGGATGTCAGGCAGGCTGTCCATTGCCTTGGATATAGAGCTTCATACCTTGAGGAAAAAAACTTTACCATGGTCTGAGTCTTCTAATGCTCCACTTCTGCTAAACAAGAGAGTAGCTAAACAAGCAAAATGAGTTCCTGGATTTTGTGTAGCTTCCACAGGAGGTACAGACCCTAAACATGTGCTGGCCTGATCTAGGGACACACTTACCAGGCAGTGACTAGCTGTGGTAAATCACAAATCACAGCAGGACAGAGCTGGTGGGAAATAACCTCTTCATTTTTGCAGAAAAAGAAACACTGATTTTCAGGAAAAATGGGGTTGTAGATTTGTGTGTGTGTTTGTTTTTGGGAAGATCTTTTTGGTTCATTTGTTCATGGGTGACTGCCTCCCTCATCTTCCAAAATTCAAGATCTTTAGAAGAGAAAAGTTAGCATTCATCTTTTCCTTTCAAGGGAGCCCTGCTACCATCAACTTCTGTTGACCTCTGTAAGAGGGTCTCAGTGACTGGACAGGGTTTCTGTTCAGTGCTCCCATCACTAGTTCTGTCTTCGATCCACATTGAGCTCTTCCAGTTGCAACTTAAATGCTGTAAAAATCTATTCTTTGTCATCAAAAACATTTCTGCCTTCAGAAAACTGATGTGGTTTCATGAGATTTCTCAGGAATGTAGAGATATATTGAAAAGCATGTATCCATTCATGAAAGAGTTTTTATTCTTTTTTTTTCTTTTTTAAACCACTTTGAGTAAATCATACACATTTTCTCATGTGTGCTTCTGCCTTAGGATTTGGTGGAGGACAGTGAGAAAAATGTAAGCCTCAGATGAGAAATAATTTCCTTTCACAGAAATGGCAAAACCAGCTGTGACTAACTCTGATCTCTACCTATAAACAATTTTGCAGGCAAGCATCCAAAATGCAGGAGTGCATGGATTTGTGCTCTGGGACTGTCAGTGGTTGTCATAAGGGTCCCAGTGCTAAGGCTTTTGTAGTGAATTTGGAATTTTCTGGAGTAGCTTCAAGAAAATGACAGGCATTTAAGACAGGATAGAGTATACATTTATCTCTCAATTAACGTATGATCATAGACATTAGAGACAGTTAAGAACATGAAATGCAGAAACACAAACAACTCATGTTCTTGTCCATTCTTGACCCAAATGTGTTTGTTTGCAATATGATTTAGTGGCACAGAGAACAGATGAAAGTATAGTTCACCATCTTTTTGTTACTTTAAAAAGTAAGGTACTTAAAAACTTACCTCCAAATACCCCTGAAACATTGTTAAGTTCAAAGTAGGTCTTTATTGAAACAGAAGCTGAAATGGAATCAAAACTAACATACACATTTCTCATCTTGATGGTTTTAAGCACACTCTGAATTTAGTGGATATGTGTTACATAGTGAAGGTGTAAGTAACTTGAAAACTACTGTTTTCAGGAATAGCGAATCTCAGTGAAATCACATAATTTCAAGGAAAGATTATGTATTTTTTTGCACAAGTAGATTCCCCTTTATGGTTGAGGGCACTTGTACCTGCACAAAAAGCCTAAGAGCAGGCTTTTGTCTTTGGTTCTATTTGAAGTCATCTCTGCAAATCCAGAAACCTGCCCTGTGTATGTCTATTTCTACAAAACCCACCCTAAATTCCCTGCCTTTCAGTACAGGGAAACAGGCATTTTTAGCATGCAATGGGTTGTTCAGATTAACACTGCATACAGTTGCCTAGGTTTCTGCTGTGACTGTACAAGGAGCACGGCCTGACAGGCTGAGAAACAAATGTTTAAAAAAAATAAATGTCTTAATATTAGGTGAGAGGAATTGCATTGCATGTGGCTGGAGGCTGGTTACGTGTGCTTTTGGTTCTGTACCCTGCGAGGCCAGCTCAAGAGTTCCCAGGCATTGCTAACATCAGCAAATCCATTCTTACTCTCTGTTGGTATCACTTCGCTGGAAATACTCCAGCTTGGCACTGCTGTAAGGGAAATATGAATTAGGCCCATTCATCTCTTTACTGGTGCAGGGTTTGCAAAGCTGGATCTTCAATGTGTTTATGTTACATCTGTGTTGTTGCATAACTTCAGACCAAGGAGCCTTTTTGACCTGTTATTTCTTACGCCATAGTTTTATATTCTGCAGATTTCATTTTATAAAGCAGGGAACATTTTGGCTTCCATCCAGCAAAGTGCTTGAACAAGTACTGAACTTCCTCCTATGGGCATTTCCATGAAATTGCTGTTCTTGGCACTTTTGCATGGCAGGCAGGCTGTGTAAGGGGAAATTTCTGAGCAGCTGGGGTAGAGACAGGATGCTTCAGGGAACGTGGGAGATCACAGCACTCTCAGGAGGCCCTGAGATCCCTGGAGGGTGAGACCTGCTGATGCGGGTGAAAAGCTATTTGTACTGCTTCTGTATGAAAGATGCAGATAGGCCAAATGCCAAAGCAACAGGGAATTCAAATTGGCTAAACAGTCTGGTGCAGTAAGTGCAGCTTGGACATCCAGGAGAAACCCCTCAGGAGATTTCTGCTTTTGCTTCCAGTGCTGAGTGAATACAGGGGGGAAAACTTGCCGCTGGCACTGTGGTACTTCCAGTTGTCTTCCTGCCTGCAACCTGTTAGTTCAGTTTTGTATAAAACAAAAAGCTAACAAGTGACCAGATCCTTTCAGAACATCCAAGAGGTGTGGCTTGGTGTCTGTCCTCAAAACATGAGAAATTTCAGTTTTGGGTTGAACCTGAAAGCTATTCTTAATTAATTCTTTGCAAAAAATGACCTATATTTACCATGTCAGTATTTCCATATGGAATTTAGCTGTTGTAGGCACTGAATTTATAATAACCCAAGTATGAATTGGAAGACTTAGATTCAAATTCTGTATCTGTCCCACCCCCACACGCATCCCAGTACAGACCACAAGAATCAGCGTAGAATTATAGAACGGTTTTGGTTAGAAGGGACTTTTAAAGGCCATCTAGTCCAATCCCTGCAGTGAGCAGGGACATCTTCAACTAGATCAGATTGCTCAGAGCCCCATCCAACCCGACCTTGAATGTTTCCAGGGATGGGGCATCTACCACCTCTCTGGGCACCCTGCTCCAGTGTTTCACCACCCTCAGTGTAAAAAAATGTCTTCCTTACATCTAGTCTAAATCTACCCTCTTTTTGTTTAAAATCATTACCTGTCACTACAGGCCCTGCTAAAAAGTCTGTCCCCAGCATCAGAGGAGACAGATGGTACCAGTGCTTTGAAACCAGGGATATTTATAATAGGTGCTTCAAGGATGGCAGGGATAACCCATCCACTTCATGAGTTAACTGAAAGCAGCACTGACACCCAAGGAAAATAAGGCTTCCAGGGGTGGGTGGTGGGGGTGGGCTGAGGAGCATTGCACACTAGACTCACTCTGACTTTTTTCCTTTGGCAGTGCCAGGCTCAAGAGCAACAGCAAGCAAGTGTGCATTGATCCCAAGTTAAAGTGGATCCAGGAATATCTGGAGAAAGCTTTAAACAAGTAAGGCAAGAGACAAATGGACTTAACAGCTAACAACCCAATTTATGAAAGGGTAGAACATTAAGGGCTGGCTTTTACCATGTGGACAAAGTATTCTTGGAATCAGATATTGTTTTGAAGATGGGTTTGGAGTTGACCTAGTCTGTATTAAAACAACAGCTTTAGTATATCCTAAGTGTTAAACTAAGAGTTTTGCCAGGGTTTGAGGCAAAATCTGTCCTAATGAATCTGTTCTGGGGTCCCCAACTCATCCTCTTTTTAAAAAAGCCGTTCTCCCAAGGAAAATGCTTCCTCTATGCCCCCTCTTCCCCAAGCCGAACTACAATTACTTCAGAATCTATATTGTTCCAGTTTCTTTGGAGCCCCTTCTCCATGTTACACTGGGGGTCTGTTTGCACAGGTGGCTGAGGCCTAGGGGGTCTTGGCGCTGAAAACTATTTTTCTGCTGGCCAGTGTGGAGTGCTATTAATATTGGCCAAGGCGAGATGCGCTGCCATAAGTAAGGCTCTCCCATAAGGCTGGGGAAAACCAGCCCTACTTGGCAAATTTAGACTTTTAAAATCTATTTTTATTCCTCTTGAAAGTGGGTGATCATGGCTACTCTGAGGTGGACCCAGCCAACCTCAGTTCAATTTTATGGTGAGCAAGAGCAGCACAGAGGACATTTCCATGCTGAGTTGGAGGGGAGGGTTCCAGCCTTTCTGGGATGGAAGATGAGACAAGTGATGGTACCAAGCATTTCTTTGCTTGCCCAGAGCCCTGGTCTGCGGTTGATCCAGCAGCAGCATTTTGGCCCGCAAGCCTACCTGTGCACTCAGTATCCCTCCCATGGGTACCACCACATTCCCACCCCTCAGTAACCTCGCTGTAACCATGCTGAGCCTTGCCCCCACCCCCTGCATCTGTAGGGTAAAGGCAGGGCTGGAATCCAGTCATTTGCAAAAGCAATGCATTCTTGGAGAGATGTGGGGAAGGGTACAGCCCCAGGGCAGATGTGAGGCAGTACAGGTAGCTGAATGCCCTCCACTGTTTGCTTTGTAAACGCATCTGCCAAACAAGAGGTAGCGTTAAAAACCAAAAGTCTTAGTTCCCCTTTGTTTTCACAATAATCGAGTGGAAAAATGCTACCAGAAGTAGAGAGATTCCTCCATGTGGCCCTTTTGGGACCATACTGGGGCCAAGAGTGAGAAGGAGGGAAGGAAGCCAGCTAGCAAACTGACTGTGATTCCAGCGCTGACAGCTCTTCCCATCTCATCCAATGCTCAGTGCCTTCCTTGCTGCCAGCACTCAGCCCTCTTGTCCTTTAGGAAAATTCTCTGTAGAGGTAATCCAGGTTAATGCTGCCAGGATGGCTTTGGATTCAGGCACAATTGAACCTAAGAGCAGGATGTGACCCATGCTGACTATCCTAAGGGGCTTGAGCTACTTTGTTTTTCAGCTTGGGAAAATCCTCAAGCCGCTGCCTAAATTTCTGTTTGCTGTCCATCAAAGCCCTTGATGCTGTCCCAAGGTCTTATGACCTAAAACTTAGGAGTCACTTAAGTTTGTAGGGTTGGGCAAATGTGATTATGTACTCAGATCCTGCCTGCCTGACTTAGGGGAACCACTCAGCTAGAACATGTTCTGCTCTCACTTCTACTAGTGAAGATCTGGGGCCAGTTCTTCTGAAACCAGTGAGCCCATGCCTGATCTCCAGCCAGATTCTGGGTTTTATTTACCTAACACTAATCCAGAAGCAATTCTGATAATTTGGTGGATTTCATCCTGGTTTTCATTGAGTAACAGAAGAGAATTTAGTCCCAGCTCTATGAAATCAGATGACAGAAAGCGTATATCTCCATCACCTAATCCTGTAATCATGGCATTGTTTTCATTTTCCAACTAGAGATGCTAGCACCAGTGGCATTTTCATGCTCCACAGACAGTCAGGGCTCTGTCTGTAGCATTTTCACAAGGCATGTTTTTGATATATTTTAGTGCACAGCTTTGACTTCTTCAATGAAATGTACTTTGGAATATATTTATAGCGCATCAAACAATTCATATATTTGAATTGGAGCCATATGAATGTTGGTAGTTTAAAACACCGATATCCCTCTAAACTACTAACAGCTTGTAAAATAAATCTATATAGATCTATAAATGTTAATGTAGCTATCAGTTTCAATCAGCCATATATTATATTTTTTCACTTGTACTTGTATGAAATGTGACATTACCCTATATGCACTAGCAATAAAATGGCTAATTGTTTCATGTTATGAAAACCCAACTGTACATGGGAATTTATTTTTCTGGAATAAAATCAATACGTTTTGTAGAAAGGGCTCTTGTAATTGCTTAAGTAAAATCCAAACTGTCAAGACATCTTAATCTATACCAGTGCTTCAATACTATAATATCTTCTGTGTTGTAACCTGCAGCTAAGGGCAAGGAAAAGTTCACAGAATATAGTAGTCCAATACAATTGATTGTGAAACCAGAGATCGTTTTCAGTAGGGAATTATTTTGCTCGCTAATTCTGCTTAGCCTTTATTACTGCTTTATATTCATCACATCTACATGTAATATACACACGAGACATCAGTAAAATACATTCAGGCTATCAGGAATCCAAATTCCTTAACTGGCTTTAAAAATCATTCTGCTGTGGCCAACATCATTCAACATTCATCCATTTTATAGACAAGGGGCAAATCAGTTCTTTCTTGAAATAGCTAACAAATCCTTTATCACTTCCAGGCAATCCCAGTCATCATTTACAGTACATTGACTGCCTTTCCCTTCTCCCTTCCTTCAAGGATATGCAAAATCAGGCCCTTGCAGAATTAAGAGAGCCCAAAATAAAGAGAGACCAGGTTGTCCACTGTCATGTTAATGTAGTCCCGTCTCAGAACTTCCCTCAGTCCAAGGTGCTGGAGTCCATTAAGCTCAGCAGCTGGTGCTGGCACAGATGAGAGAGCTGATGGATCTGGAGAAGACAACAAAGTCAAACAGGAAAAACCTTTCCCTTGAGTCTGCTGGGAGAAAGGAAACTCCCAGCTTCTAGGGGCTGGCTGTGATGGGAGCCAAGCCCTACTGCTGCCTTCCTATACAATGCTTGTAAACCCTGGTGTGGCAGCTCTTGCTAATTTCTGACCTCATTTGTAAATAAGGGCTGAAGTACTAGACGCCAAAACAAGTGCCTCCTGGTACTCCACCAAGCATGTGCTGGGTGAATGCCCCACACAGTGGGGGACAATGTAGGTGACTGTCATTACAACCTTGTTTTAAGGCACCGAATGCCCACAAATCCCATAGATTAGCCATTGGTTCTTGTTGATGTCAGTGGGAGTGCTGGGTGGGAAGACAGAAATCCAGCCCCCCTCTGCTTTCATTGTACCTTAGGAGTACAATGGTGTGGATAATGAGGCTCCTGGCTGAAAAATTCTGTCAGGCATTTGGGGAGGCTTTGGTGTTTTTGGGGAAAATTGTTCTAGCCTCAGAATTTGCAAATGTCCTGTCACCTGACACTTTCATTTGCCTAGCATTCTTCTGAGACAGAGGGTATATGAAAGGGGATGTTATCATCATTTGCACCCTGCCAGCAAGATGTGAAGGAACCATAGGATAAATGTGAATAAGGCCTTTGTATATGGATAATTTATGGCAGTCTTTTTGTATTTTTCTTTTAATTTAGACCACGTCATCGCACTCATAAAAAAAAGCAACAGAAGAAACGGGGCCCACTCTGCCCTTCCCGTGCAACACCACTAAAGTCTCCAGGGAGAAAGAATGGTAGGAGACATTAGTTTTTGAGCTGGGATACCTCAGGTTCAAGTCCCTGCTCTTCCACTGACCATCCTATGTGACCTTGGCCCCATATTTGTTGAGGATAACATCTATACCCTCCCTGCATAGGAGTATTATATAGATAAAACTCTTAAAACAGGGGGAAAGTTCAGCCACAGCAGAGGTGGGAAAATTTTCCCATTTTGGAAAAATGGACACCCAAAGGGGCCAAAATAACCCTGAAGCAAAGCCAAAGTAAAAAAACAGGGTAAAGGTTTGGAAACCCTATTTCTTTTAGATGGTTGTATTCCTCCAATACCAAATTGCCAGAGTTAAACTATAAATAACAGCTGTGAATTTGTCACTGGTGTTTTTAATGACAAATGCAGCACTGGATGGTGACAACATGATTTGGTGCGTTGGTGACTGGTTGACACCTCTCCTATGGGAGATGCTAGGCAAGTCCCAGAAAACAGTGTTACATGTGCCAATGCTCTGAATGTCCCAGTTGTTTTTTTTCCAACCACAATGGCATGTCCTGCCTTTCTGCACCAAAGGAAGTAGGGTTACCGGTGTGGGGTATTGGAAAAGATATCTTCAAAGAGGAAAATTTTGCTCATGGCTTGGTCATCCTCTTTATGCCTGGATGAGTTTTCCAAGGCTACCTTCATTGAGAGTAGTCACAACTGTCTCTGGCTGTGGTCACACAGTCTTAGTTTTCCAGCAGGGATTGAAAGGAATGTTTGTTCTGATCCTGTAAGGCTAGACAAGACATGCTGGGACATCAAGTTTTTTGAATACTTGGTGTTTACCCTCTGACACTTGCAACTCAGCCTTCGTGACCTCATCTAGATTGCAAAAGGCAGATCAGCCTGGAGCAGGCGTAGGGGTCACTTCATCCAAAACCTGGAGGCCACCACCACAGACTGGCTCCTTGTTCTGAGCGAACCCCGCTCACAATACACTTGCACTTTGCTGTGATACCCACCACTCCCACTGGGCCCCATGCTCATGCTCATACTGAGCATGGGAGACTCGATTTGTCTGCCTCCTGCCCTGAGCTCCCTACCTCTGCACTTAATGCTTCACACATGTACTGTGCAGCATGTGGTTGCTCTCCCTCCCTGTCACCCCACCTTCACTGGGTAGCTGGTCACCACAAGCTGTGAGGTGCTACCCAGCTGCTCGCCGCAGGTGAGGTCCCAGAGCAGGGAGGCCATGGGGATGGCTCCTGGCTGGGCAGCACACTTGGAGGCATCTGGTCTCCAACAGGAGCAAAACATGGGCTGTCCTCTTTGTTCCTCCACCCTCACAGAGACTGGAACCCTGCAGAGCTGCAGTCCATGATCTGCAGCAGAGCTGTGGGGTAGGGGCAGGTAGAGGAGGCATTCCCAGTCCCACTTGCTCCACTAATGGAGCTGCTCACAAATGATTAATCCCTCCTTTTCCTGCTGTTTTATTTTGCCAAGTCTCCTTGCCCACCAATAATTCTTTGCTCTGGCTTCAAGTCCAGAATAAGCTTCCTAGCCAGCCTTCTTCCTATGTTAGCTCTGAACACCTTACTAACTGTGATGAGCACAACCTACCCAAAATAACTCCCATTGTGGGGTTTGCCCTGCTGGGTCCCAGTAGCTCCTTGTGGAGAACTTCTCCCTAAATGTTTGGCTAATACTGGTTGGAGGGGCTGCAAAAGAAATGCCTTTGGGTTAGTCCAGACACAGATTTGCTGTTTGACTAGGCCTGATATCAAAGCTTTTGCAACTGAAATAAACCTTAATAGTGTTTCACTCTGTTCTTCATCAACAGGAGGTTCAAGATGTAAGAGGCAAGCATTGTAAGCCGTCTACAGGATTTCTTACTGTAGGAGCCAGAGAGCAGATAACCAGTATTAGGGAATGAATACATTTCACTGTTATCATGCAGCACAAAAGCAACGCTTCATGCATTTCCGAAGGGGTTTTTTTTGTTTGGGGGGAGGGGTTTTTTGTGGTTTGATTTTTTTTTTTTTGCACAAATTGGCTTGCTTTCACAGTGCTATTTTTATAGACTAAGATGTAACTATTTGAGAAAAATATGTTTTTATACAGGTTGATTTATTACCTAGCACTGAGGGCAGATAATGAATTTAAACTAACCCTATGTTATTATATAATATTATATTTCCTTTGCAATGTAGAGGTCCTGCTTTATTTAACTATGTTTTGGTTCATGCAAATCTCCTGGAGTTTTAAACCTAGAAGGACATGAACTGTACTGTGCAATTATGTTGTTTAAGTAGTGGAGGAATTCCTTGCCTCCAGAAGTCATTGAGACCAGGAACATAGGAAGGCTAAAAAGCATCAGACATGGATGAAAATGGTGGCATTTATAGGTATTTGGGGTGTGGGATTAAACTCAGGGCTACAGGGCTAAAGCCCTTCTCTGAAGACGAGAGACCTTGGTGACAGCTATGAGCAGCTGGGTCAATGCACATCTGGTATTGCAAGGTGCTAGTTCTTGGTTTGTAGTAGCTGTTGTGTGTTAGGAGCCACGACACTGGTCTGATGTCGCCTGGCATTTCCTATGTTCCTGTGCTTCTGATGACAAATTTTAGCACAAAACTGAATGAATTATAAAAGGTCTAACCACACGATCATGTTGCAAGTTGCTGGAGGAGTCAGATACGCTGCCACACACCAGGTGTCTTTTCCCACCCATCCACAGGAGGTGGTTTCAGCTTGCCTGGGTAGCTTTGCACTGAAGTAGGTGGAGGTACATTCACATGACCCTTCACCAACCATGCTGTAGCCTCAGCTACTGAACAGTCACACATACCTGAGGGCAGTGACATCTCTGATTGCTCAAGAGCTACCTAGAAGAGGATGTCTGGCCATGTCTTTGGAGAAAAGAGATGCCTGGGGCAAGAGAGGGTCTGCCCAGTTTGTTGAAGGTATGGTGTTTCTCAGGTGTGGAAGTGAAGGCCAGCACTCACTCTTCACCAGCAGTCATGGCCCTGTTTGCTGGTGAACAGGATAGCCTCTGAAATTTCCTTTGCAAGGGACACCTGGGGACAGTCACCACTTCTTGCAACAGTCGCCTCTCTCAGCCAGAAATGTTTTTCTTCCGATTCCTACCTGTATATGCACCATCTTTGCTATGTAGTGTATGGAAAGACACCTGCAGTACTGTGATAATCGTGCTATGCCGCACACTGGGATCTGGGGGGAGGCACATTTGTGCAGCACAATGCTTGTGTTTGTGTGTATTGTAAACAAAAAAATGTTGTAAGATTGTAGGGATTTTTGAGTGGATTGCTTCAAAAGGAATCTTCTCTCTTCCCTGGAGCCTGTGTCTGGAACACTGAGAGAGGTGTTTCACTGAGCACTCCTTTTTGTGGTAGGCATCTTTAGTGCCAAAGAGCCACTTTGTCTAGCCAGGGACTACCTTAATTCCATGTGGATTCAGGTAAAAATCTTGTGGGTATTTTCCTCTCTGTGAAACAGTGCTGTTATAGAGAGTGCTTCAGCTGGGACCACATCACTTCATTTGCTTTAAAACAGAAACCAATTGCTGTGTGTGTGATTCTGACATTCCTTCTATTGTTATCATTACCAGCCTGGTGCTTTAAGTATATTGTGTCTCTGTTTTGAAAGCTCTAGTACCACTGTACTTGATGAGAATTGGAGTGTTGATTTAATATGAGTAGGATCAGATCTTCTGTTGTAAGGGTAAAGACAAAAAGAACTTTTGTGAGAAAACCAGAGTTTCTTATATCTTCCCCAGACTGTACTTTATATCCCAGGGTCCATCTCCTGTCCCCACACATGGAGCTGCAATTGCTAGTATTTTGCCAGAGTGGACATGTGAGTGTCAAAGCCAAGAATGACTTTGGGGAAGGTGTGGAAGAATCTTGGTTCTGACACAGATACAGAGCTCGTCCTTCTCACCCCAGAAGGTGCATTCTTCACACATGCTTCCCAACAAAGGACAGCTTGAGGTCTGATTGATTCCCATTGGACTAAATAGAGAATTAAATAATCCTCTGATTTTGATTCAACATCATACCTTGCTAATGATGATAGGGGTCATGAAGGTTTTGTTTCTAGGGGAGACACTGGCTTTCCAGTGAAAAGAAAAAGGCAGGTAGATGTGACTGTACAGCCTTGCCAGCGCTCTGCTGCAGTCCTCCTTAACAGGGAGGGCATCTGGGGACAGCAACAGCAGGATGCTCTGGGCACATGCCAACCCTGCATTACAGCCTGGGCAAACAGACTGCTTTGACAGAAGCATTGAGATGGGCAGCACTGGAGCACCCTGGCCAAACCCCAGGGTCCCAGCTCTGGACAGTATAGCCAGGTAGTGGAGGTACTGCAGGAAATGGGGTCACCTGTCAGCCTCTTCTGGGGGCAAACTAGTGAGTGTTGCAGGGACACACTGTGCTAAAGGAAAGGCATTTGCTCCTGGGAGTAAATGCAGAAAGGGCTGGGAAGGGAACATGTAGGGCCAGGTGGTGGTTGTCTGGGTGCCTTGTGAGCTGTCTGCCTCTGGCATTTCTTGAGACTCACACTGTGACCTGGGCCCTGACACCACTGCAGCTGAGACCACTCAGGACATGGGCCAGCACCATGTCTCTCTCTCACCTGGGCAAGGTTGAGCCCAGCATGAATGCAAAGGTAGCACAGACCTGGCCAGGAGTAACCGAAGACTTAAGTGAGACAAAAGCTTTCTCTTGCTTTAGACCAAAATTCAACCTTGAGTGGGAATCTTTGCTCTTTTCCTGACATTATTTGCATGATGCATCAGGAAGAGCAGCCATGCCCTTTACACTAGGGAAAGCAAAACCTCGGCTGCATCAAGCTCCTTGTGCTCTCTGGTGTATGACACGCTGTTCCTCCTGTGCATCACACTGGGTTCCTCCTGTGCATCATGCCGGGTTCCTCCTGTGCATCACACATCCTGTACATGGCTTGGTCATAGCAGGCTGAGAAGCAGCACTAGTAGAAACCTGCTTGGGGAGAGCATGGAGATTTTCCTTTCTGCCTTTAACTGTTGACCAAAGACCAAATCAGGGAAAGGAAACGTGGGGAGTTGAGAGTGATGCAGGGTGAAGAGGAGGGAAAAGATGTAACACTGAACTGGTGCTGAAAAAGCAGCTTCCGTAAATGTGAAATTGTCACGTGTGGTGTTTTCAAAGTGCAGCTGTCGAACCCTAAGTTTGGATTATGTTTTTTAAAAAATAGATGGTATTTATTGCTGTACCAATGTTTTATTTATACTAGCTTTACACTTGTATGCATAAATATCTTACCTGAATTCTGCCTGGGAAAGGATGAAGGGTGACTTTTTGATGTGTTTTTAACTAATATGTTTGAGCAAAGGTGACTGTTCATTTTGCAATGAAGGCTATATTCCACGTTAAATATATACATCTATATATATATATATATTTTATTTTTTTTGTTGAAAATGCAGTTCCTATAGAAGTTTTTCTTGCTATTTTCCCTTTGTTAGCATCTAGAGGGTCCTGCTTTTCTCTTGACAACTTGTTTTGGGTGATATGATTTATAGTAACCAGAGGTTTCTGAGAACTCATCACCTAAAATCTGAATTTATTTCTTTACCAACTTCCCACCAAGACAAGCCTTATCTGCAAGCATGAAACTCTGGTAGCCACAGAGAATAAAACATTTATCATGATGAAAGGGCTGCGTGAACCTTCCATTTTCCACTCCTTAAGAACTCAGTGTTGTCAGAATGTGGTAAATACTGTATATTTTTATTAAGTATAAAGAATTATCTTCCCAAATAATGTGAAAAAGGCTTTGTATTTGTGTTCTTGTAAGGCAGCTTTTATGGAGGAGTTACATTATGCTTCTGAAATTACTCCTTTCATAGAATATTTTGAAAATAAACACCTTTATATCATTGTAATTTCTCCCAAAAATGTGTATGCACTTAAAATTTTCTTAATAAAAATGTCTATCTGAATGAAATTATTACGTGCTTCTAATTTGTTTTTTCCTCACACACAAACAGCTAGAAGCTTCCCATCAGGAAAAAAAACCAAAACCAACCACATTTGGGTGTAGTTTAAGTGTGCAGTTTCAAGGATGCTTCCATGTAGCCCCTTGGAATCAGACTTTCTGCAGGGAACCTCAGGCAGAGTGCCCACAGGATTTGGCAGGGAGCAGCAGCCTAGCAGGTTGAAACGTGCCATCCTCAAAAGGAAAAGCTTAACCACTTCCTCCATAAACAGAAGCCCAAACTCTTTTTTTCCCCAACCTGTCTCCTGCAGCAGGTTGACTTCTGTGAAATTGAAAACATTGAGCTGTTTTTGCTCCAGCAACAGGGATTTCATCTTCATGTGTGATGGGGAAGGGATGAGGGTTTCTCTGAAGATTCCGAGGAGTGTCAGGGGATGCGTTTGACAAAAGAGCAGATGATGTGAACAACACCCCCCTTGGGGCTGGCTTTCCTAGGACAAAACAGGGTCGAACTTCAGTTTGGAGGTGGGGAATGGTTTTAGAGTCTTGTAGGACTGTTCTGAGATCCTGGAGGTATAACCCTAACATGGATGATGTCATAGGGAATTTGCTGTGAGTTTCAAAAGCATGAGTTGAAAACCAGCTTTTGTCAGTGGCTTTCACCATCTCTGAGTCCCCATGGCAGGGGGAAAGTGTTTCCTCAGGCCACCTGCTTGCTCCGCAGCTGCTCTGCTCCAACATGCCAGTCCTCCTCCATTCACCCACTGCAACAACACAGTTGAATCCCAGCCCCATGTACAGCTCTGGCTGGAGCAAAGGTTAGGGATAATTTAGTATCATCTCCTAAGAGTGAAACAGTTCTTGAGCCTTACTGAGCTTCTTATTCAATAAATATTTATTGGCCAAATTGATGCAAGGCAAAAGACATGCAAAAAAATGGAAAAAGGAAACTCAAATGACTGATGATCCCTTTGCAAATCCAGCAATGATTTAGTAAGAGATTATGAAAAACTGAGCAGGTAATTGTGAGTGCAGATGGTCAGTGAGAGATTCCCAGGCCACTGTGAGATACACTGGGAGTAATTAGCTACAAAATTACACATTAATATTAACGGAAGGCCCCATG